CGCCTGTCATCGCATCAAGGTGACCTTCCGTGACGAGCCGGGCGAGGGCTCGGGTGTAGCTCGTTCCTTCATTACCGCCTTCTCTGAGGTGGTTCTCTCCGAGCGTGTGTTGCCAGACCTCTCCTCCATCCTACAGCCGCCCTCGACTGCCGAAAGTAAGTGCTCTCGCAATCTGAGCAGCTTCTTCTCTACCTTACCTTGTCTCAAAGTGTTTGATTTTAAATTTAGGGCAAATAACACGTAAGGGAAATTTTTCTAAAACTCTATTATTGGTAGGGTAGGGGAGGGTGGAGGAGGGGACGGCGTTACGACACCGCCTCTGCGGACACCGATTTAAGGTTCTTGTTATCGGTCTGACCGTTTTATCACTACCACTCATGTCTTAACCGTTAGATATGGCTGACTTGTCCAGTAGCAGCCACAAATATCTGTTGGGGAACCACCCACGCCATTCGTAGACCACGCAAGACATCATGTTACCTGGAATGTATGGCGATCCAACATAATATACATGGCTGGCTGGCTAGTAGTCCTTGTTGGATCAGAGTCCCGTCGGATTGGCCTCAATCCCGGCGGCGAGGAGAAGGAGTCGGAGCAGCGTGGTCGGGAGGGCCTGTTCCGTCATGAAAAACAGAGATAGAGAGGAGAGATAGAACCACCGTAGGGAAGTTGGTTTAGCAGACCTTTGCCGCCGTGAGGGTGGGTGGGAACGCGACGAAGACGCGTCTGCTGTGGTTCCCACATAATATACATCTTTATCGACGGTGTCCTTGCGTCCTACTCTTTATTAGCAAATGCTTTCTTGTGGCGCCTCCTACAACTGCATCTCTGGACCCCTACCTCCTCAAAGTTCACCCGGAGTTTGTCCGCTAACAGTTATGATTCCCTATTCAATAATAAAACTCATTAACATCAGTTACTCCATATTACAGACATGACTACGGTTGAAAATAATAGTCTTGGGGTCTTTGATAACAGCCGTACTAGTTTTAAAACAGGAGTAACGGTTTCATAAATACATGCCACTCA